CAAAATTTTATAATGTCATATTAGACCAGTTCTCTTTTGCTACCTCAGTAAAAACACTCCAACAGCAGCTGTAAGATTTTCCCATATTATTAGTAGTTAAAGCTGAGATTAGGAGAAGAAAATAAGAAGTACAGYGCATTAGGCATTAGTGGCTTTGAAATAGCAAAAGCTGTGAGGGGTCACCCAGATCCAGATAAGCATAGATGCATGTTTGTTTTTAAAGCTCGGGCCCTAAGAATATAATRCAGATTTTTAAAGCATGTGGAGTAATGTTTTCAAAGTATCTATCTCTCCTCCCACATGCATGAAGACCAGTAACAGTGACTCTTCAGCAGATCAGCAAGGGGACTTTCTACTTCAAATTACCTGCATCCTTCACAAACYACATGCTTTAGAAGATCTTTTTATTCCTGCAATCTGTTGCTAACTATGCTGATTCTTCAAAAATGGAACAAGTTTTCCAAATGTACTCCTTTTCCATTAATTTTGAGGGTTTAACTGGGCCAGAGACCACAGTAAAAAKATGTGATCATGACCAGGCATATTCAACTAAAACATCCTATTTGGGATCACTGTGAGACCACTGCGAAGAGATGTTACTTTCAGAGTAAGGATAAGGTTTTCAGAACTTGAAATCAGGTAAAGCTGCACAGCCCAGCTTTGAGCACTTGCTGAACAAGGGCTATTTGGGTGCAGAAGCCAAATGGATAAGCAGTCTCCCTGACAATTTAGAGTGGAGYAAAGAATTAGAGGGAGGGCTTTAAACCAGGAGTACTGTGGAAGGGAGATTATAGCCCAAATATGAATGCAGAAGACAAAGGTGGAAAGAAATGGTGTTGGGTAGCTAGAGCAAGAAAGACCTCAAGAATGGTGAAACAAAGGSGAGGAGCCCAGCTCCAGAGTGAGAAAATATATTAAATCTGGGGAATRTGCAGGACCAACTGGAACGCTGCACATAGTCATGAAAAAATAATGTTGCTGAAAAACAGAGATGTGGAGGGACATTTCTCACTACCAGAAGATCTTCAGAAGTTCAGAAGGAACACTCAGTGAAGACAACATGGGTTGCCTTTAAATGTGAAGGAGCCACTTGGATATGAAGGGCTCCTGTCCGGATGGACAAGAGCTGCAGGAGAGCCTGTGGATCAGATTCAGTGAAGAGGCTGACAATGGTGATTCTGTGGTGAGAGTGCATAATAGACCTCCAAACAGAGTGGACATGGGCACTTCTTAGAACAACTGAGGGAAACCTCTGTATCACAAACCCTCATTGCCACCAGGSGCTAGATATTCCCTGATGGCTGCCAAAAATGCAGGAAGCATGTAATGTACAACCAGTATAACCAGTATAACAGTGTACTTCACTAACAATGAAGAACTGTTGGGGAACTTGATAATCAGTGGCAACCTAGGCTGGAGTTATTGTGAAATAGTGAAGTTCAAGACCGAAGTGAATGAGGAATAGGAACAGCAGAGTATAGACCTTGGACTTCAGGTGAACAGACTTCTCATTTTTTTGGGGAACTAGTAGCTGGAATCCCACTAGGGAATGCTCTGAATCATTGTCATGGTTTTACTTRGTCTGATTTTTGGTGGTGGGGGGATGGGACCAAGAAACCACAAAGATGGCTCCTGTGAGGAAGTTCTAGAAACTTTCTCCTTCTTCTCCAGCAAAAGGAGCCCTACTCCCTGTGTTTTAGAGCCAATCCATCATGGCTCTGAGGTTGATGGACAGGCTGCYCATCAGGCCTGGGCCAATTGCACAGGCCAATTACACCTCTGTGATGACGTATTGTCTGGTACTTAAGAAAGAATTAAAACCAAGATAGGGTCGGCTGCCATGTAGTTCTTAGGTTGTTAGTATGTAGTTTTAGTATCATGCACTGGGGAAAAACAGAGCAGGAGGGTGAGGAGATGTAAGAAGAAAAATGGAGACCCAAAGATCACAGTAAAGAGGAGATGGGATGAGTTGCTGTGCTGTTGCTGTGGTTCTCGAGCATGGAGAAAATAAGTTGTTTTCGAAAGGACTATTTTCGTTAATGAGAGACCTGTATAGAAAAGAGAGTGACCTTGCTCTGAGGGGAAAAAAAAMCCCTGGCCTTTGAGGACTGGACTGAACTGATTAGAAGCCAAAAAAAAATGAGGAAGAGGCTTGGCCCCCCCACGATGTTTGAAGCGAGTTGATGCTAAGAAGAAAATGTGTTCTGTGGGGAGGGAGAGGTGCCCCCGCTCAAGCAAGTGAAGCTGTGTTCTGCCAGGAGATTTGTGATAGTGGTCTTACGCTACCGAAACAACACAGTTTGGCCTTGARGAACATTCTTTCCTTTCTCCTACGAGGTAAAGAAAATACTCCCTTGCCACCAGCAGTTATACACTGACTGYTCTTGGGAAAAAAAACTTCCACAGCTTGGAGCTGTAAGAACGCTTCTCCTATGTTGCTGGACGACAACTGTAATGAGTRGTTTGATCTATGTTAGACTTYTATTCATGTCCCCTATGTGTGCGGGAAAAACATGGGGGGTGAAGAGGGAGGACCTGGGAAAGAGACGGGTCCCGGAAAGGATAACAGGTGTCTTAAAATGTCCGTTTTTATTTTTATTCTCCTTGTAAATTTTTCCCTGTCTCTGTTCCCCTCCCCGGTGCSGTAGTATTCTTAGTAGTTTGTAGTAATAAATCTATTTTGCAACTTAAGTTTTTCAGCCTGTCTGACCATTCTCTGGAGCACATACGTATCTTTCTCTCAATTATGTTATGTTATCTGAAAGCSATAAATTTTCATGATAATTGGGMTTTTGCTCTCCCTTCTTTCTCTCCGGTGGGGGAAAGGAGAGAACGTCGTGGGTAYGGTGCTTTTGGCTTTCAGCACAGTCCAAACCACGAYGTTTTTGGYGCCTTGACTCGGATTGGGAAAAATCAGGTTTAAACCCACGACAATCATAAAGTGGCACAGAAAAACTGCAAGGGCTTAAAGCACAGCAGGCTCGAAGTTCAAGAACTAAGTGAGTACACCAGCAGATAAGTGTGGCTAAACCATGAACTCATGCTCAGGCTTCAGTGCAGAAGAGAGGAGGTTTTGGGAAGTAGRGACAGGATAAAAAGGAAAATTTGGAAGCATTGCCTAGTCATTATGGTTGGTGTCAGTAACGTTAAAGCTCATAATCTGAGATTGSCAACAGAATCAAGAGCAACAGGAAGAGTTTCTATCACTGCATGAACACTACATAAACAGCTAAACAAGGCCAACATGGACTTGCTGCTTAAAAGAGGGGATGATTTAGTGAATGTGAACAGTGATAAAATTAAGGCAGTTCGTACTTTGCCTCGGTTTTCACCATCAACGTCTCTGACATCATTATGGTTAGAGATAGTTCAACAAGGAGGAACACAACCACCAGTAGGTAAGGATAGACAGATTGATTATGAGATCTGAACCTGCCCAAATCCATGGGATCACCAAGAGTCTTAAAGGAATCATTGCAAGACCAGAGAGATGGAGAAAGACAGATGTTGAATACACCTCCAAAAAGTAAAAAAAAAAAAAAAAAAAAAATCCAGAGAACTACAGCTCTGTCATTCTGACTCTGTCCCTGGGTAAATCAAGATGCAAGTCCTTGAGAAACATTTCTGGAGAGCTGAGAAAGAGGGTGAGGATTAAGAATCTTTAATAAGAATGAATCATGTCTGACAAACGTGATTGTCTTCAACAATAAATTACAATATTTGCCRAGATTGAGAGAGCTGGGTATGTCATTTACATTGACTTTTGCAATTCTCTGGGAAGTAGRAATTGTCTGTTAACAGCAACAAATTGTCTGTAAAAATACATAACTATTCATAGATTTTCTTGGCACAAATCCTCCCTTCTGTGACAGAAGACTGTATTAGTAGAAACTGTTCTGGTTAAAGCTGCTGGACTGGCCATTAGAAACTACTCCTGCACTAATTCTAAATGGGATTATACAAAGCAATGYTATGTCTACAGTGATTCAAGATGGCTTGTGTCTCCTCCCTACACACAAGTTTCTCTTAGAATTGTGTCTGTATCCATTGTCTCCTAGGTATATGTTCAGAAAGGGGTTCTGCTAGTTTTTTGGAAGCTCCTGTCTGACTCAGGAGAGTCCTGGTAACTTTCACTAAGATGTGTAAATATTTTGGAAGCTTTCAGAAGCTCTTGCCTATAGGTGTCATTGTCCTTACTGTTGCATGCTTATCCTCCTTCCCAAAAGTCAGGCCTAGCTTTAAACCCTTGAAGAGAGATAAGGAAGCTGGCTGAGTAAATGCTTTTTTGTCCTARTCATTACATACCTTTTGTGAGTCTTTCATTATACACTTGTGAAGTGCGTTTTTCCATCAGCACCTATATATATTGTCGACTATTTTGTTGATTTTGACTGYGTAGAGTGTTTATTTTAGTCATGATTTGTACTCATAGGTCTTAATGGCAGTATTCATTCTTTTTTATTTTGTGAAACAGGACAGATTTATTTTCTCTGCCCTGCAATGAGATCCTGTGAGAACAAGGTAAAGGGGTGGGCCTATAAAAACAGAGGATGTAACAATGTCTGTCTGACCCACAATTCCAAGATGATGATCTGTCCCACAGTTTTCAGTACGTATTAAAAACACTCCAGGAATATATTTGAAATTTGACTGTTGTGTCCTSAATTGCTCTTCAGATAGAGAGATGAGGAGGAGAAGGTGGAAGGCAAAAAGAGTTGCATAACAACAGGGAGGTGGGGTGATGCAGAAGAAGAAAGATGGATTTTCTGCARTGTTGATTCTGTGTCCTCTCAATCCTAGCAGCTACTGCTTATCTAATATTCTCAGTGCCTTTTTGCAGCCCYCACGTAGCTCCCTTTCATATATGCACATGGTGAAGTCCCAGTTGACATTCACTGTTGACATTGCTGAATGCACGACTGGAGTAACAAAGAGTAAGTCCTCAAACTGGCTTTGAGAGGCATCATACATGGTGTACAAGGCAGACAAAAGCAACTTACCTATTAGTGGGACAGAGTCAGATGTTGCAGGCATGATCTCAGCCACAAGCAGCATGAATACCGTCAGGGAAAGAAGGACAGTGATACCTGCAGGGAGTGAACATGTTTGGGAAGAATGAGGAAAATGGAAAATGGAGCAGCTGCTCCTCTGATGCCTGTGCTGTTAAATATAGCTTTGTCCTGGTATACAGCCAAGCCAAACCCACGACTTCATGTCTGTCAATGTAGATTAAAACTTACACAAACTTAAAACAGTTTTGGATGCAACTTATCTGCTCTCTTTTCAWTTTTTTCTAATACACACATACCCTTGCTTCTCTCAAAGTAATAGAGAAATTTTTCTGCCTAGTGAAACCACGCTTGCAKAACTGGTGAACTACAGTGCTTTTCCAAAACACTGCACAAAGCCTAAATGGTTGTTAGGSGTTAGGAGAGGCTTGCACAGACAGGAGTGTAGGTTTTGCTGTTGCATATTATATAATATCCCTCAAAGACCTGCAGTCTGTTTTAGAAGAAGCTCTTTGTTCTCTCTGGAAAGGCTGTTGCTAAACCTAACCATCCTGGTACTGAGAAATCAAAAGGTCAATGCATGAACATTAGCTCCTGTTTTTGTGTCAACATTTGTGTCAACATTTTACTTCAGCTTAAATAACTCTTTCCTTGTCTCTATCCTATATTTTGTAGACAGCAGCTGTACCCTCATAGCCTGTGTTTCACTTCCTGTAGGACAGATTGCTCATATATCTGCCTTTTTACTAAAGAAAAACACTGCGGACATTTCGTAAGATTTAAAAGTCTCTGACATAAGACAGAATAATGCATAATTAACTCTTAAGGTCTCATCTGGATCAGTCTGGTGTATTTACAGCTCTCCACTGTCTTCTCTTGAAACAACCCTTCCCATTTTTATCAACACACACAACAGTAAATCTCATTCAGCCTTTCCATGGCAGTCACTCCTTTTTGCTCATAGGGGACTCATGGCTAGATATTTTGGGAGCTGAACTTCGAAAATGAAAATCCAGTGCCCAGCTGATGCTGTTCACAACCCTTCACTCTTTGCTTCCTAGAATGTCCTATTTGAAAAAGAGAGCCAATGAGCTTGAAATGCATTGAGACGTAATAAAGAACATAACAGGCGTGACAGAGTACTATCACTGTYGCCTGTGCCAGCAACACGTTCAGCTTCCTCCCAGTCCAAAAGATTTTAGAAGTGTTTAGCACAGGATGTGTGAATGCCATACAGAAAGCTGTTATCCTTGTTCCTACAACCAAAAAAAGTACTTCTATTGCTCTTTTAGTGAAATCTTTATTCATCAAGCACCATAGCACTGTGAAGTATTTATTTTCAATTTTATAGGACACTTATGAAACATTTGAATATTTTAGCACTTACCTAAAGAAATCTTCTCTCCTGAATCAGCTGGCAAAAGGAATACAAGCAGGGCTAAGCCAGATATGAGAACGCAGGGAATGAGTAAGTTCAAGCCATAGTAGAGGGTGCGTCGACGCATGGTGATGGTGTATGTCACATCTGGGTATGGCTCTTTGCAGCATTCGTAGTACAACTCATTCCTCTTCCCTGGGACACCTACAGAGAAGGTGATCAGTGCAGTGRGGACAGGTGCAGGACTCCCAGTTATCTCCTTGGACTGGACTAAGAAGTGATGGTTTATGAGCCAGTGTGTGTCACCTCTGCTGTTCCTAGCCCACCTTCTGTTTTTTCTAGGGTTTGCTTTCATGCTTTCTGAGTCACCTGAATCTAGCTTAGCCAATAAAGCTCATGTGGACTGGAATGCAACAGTCCTGGGCTTCCCAATCTCCACAAGAAAAATGTGCATTCTGCCTTCCTACATGCTGTGAATGGTATCACATTGTTGATGTGATATTCACTAGCACATGAAGCAGATTTTCTGTGTGGCAAGTGCCACTGCTCCCTATTTTTTCTCTGATTCTCTATACATATTTGTTTGGGGCTTTTTTGGTCAGAAAAAAMCAGACAGGATACAGCTTAATTTTCAAAAAGGATGTCAAGTTAACCTTAAAGCCCATCATATCTGTAGTTTACGAGACATAGATGTCCAACACAGCTGTACTTCAGCATGTCCATGGTGATCCCACTCCCACTGATGGACATGTGCCTGAGGGGACTGCAGCAGCACAGGAAATGCCAGGAAAGCTGGAAGAACTCAGCACCTTGTATCTTTCATGCCAAAATGGTTCCCTTCTCTTTGATTTCTGTGGACATGACAGAATATGTGACTATATGTGCATTTTGGCAGAGGCTTAGCGAAGTTTTCCGAAAGGATGTAGCCATGGCTTGCTTCAGTTGCTACTTGATGCTTTTGCTCTATGAGCTAAATAAATCTGTTTTGTTSTGCCCAGATCAAGGCTGAAGGCAGATAAACCACTGACTCTTATGCAGATATGCAGTTATTGGACAAAAATATGCAGTATAAAGGAGCACCGGACAGTCAGGAGTGCTCTGAAACAGCTGGACTTTAGGAGGACTTCACTATGGAGCCCTCCARCTTCTCATCATAAAACTGAATATGATTTCTCAGATGCACTGAATGGTAAAAAAACTGCATGCAGTTGGTCAGGGCAGTTATTTCCTTGTCTACATATCCAGACTGGAAGATAAAATGTCTTTTTTGCAACCTCTTCTTGCAGCTGTCTAGGTTCCCTCAATTTCTCTAACACTGCTTCTGACTTACAGCTACATAAATGAATTCAAAATAGCTCACTAGAAGCCCACTCTGAGTAACTATTTCTGRACATAAGTTCTTTTGAAAATACAGGTATCTTCCAAAGCATAGAAGAGAATCATGCTGATCTGCAGGTTTYATGAACTGTTTGGTGCTTTTCTGAGTGAGAAAGATTCATTTATATAAAAGTTTTGGTGAAATACTTTTTACCCAAATCAATTTTGCTGATGCCTTAGAGTAAATGTGACAGCAGTGTTCCATGCACCCACACGAGACACATCCAAGTTTAGTACTGGCAAACTGCTCAGATGTGTCAGGACTAGTAGCTTTCATTTATGTACTCAGTGGCAGGCAATTGCTTCAGAACACAGTGTTTTCAGACACAGTTCAATGAATGTGACTAAAAGACTGTCTCTGATACGTGATTTTTTTTCCTCTTTCTTTGCATCTTCTTAGATACATATTTTTATTATCTGTATTTCATGTCCAATTGATGGATATTTCTACATATTTGAGGTTTGCCTTTAAAATTCAACTATTGAAAATTTTTAGACTGGCCAATTTACCCACTAAATCCCATTCTCCATTTGAGATGTAGTTGGAAATATCAGCCTCGAGCATCTGCAGGTCAATCAACCAGCCACTGTGAGTCCAGGAGCCAAACTTCAAATCACACTTCTGCACATCGAAGGGGAACCAGCGGACATCAATGTAGCACGTGCTCTTCAAAATGCCTGTAGACAGAAACCAGTCACGATCAAGCACGTGCAGGGTGCATTTCATCTTCCCCTTATCTGTCTTTGATTGTGAGGAGCAAGCTTCCTCTTCAAAAAGTCTGTGTGATACATTGAGTAACCAAACAAGTACTGCAGATGGAAGATGCTGCTATCAGTGGAATGGCCTCTCTTCCTCCACCAGTGAAGATGCCTCTCTCACTGTTTCATTGAGATATGTTGCCTGGGACACGATGGCCACCCAGCAGCAGCCCAGCCTGTATCCCAGTGCCACCTGGCCTTAGTAGATTACAGGGAGTGCTGCTTGGTCTGACAGGAACAAAGAGCATGCCCCAGTGGTTGAGTGTACTGTCACCAGCTCTTTGAAAGGAGTTCCTGGTCAGGCCCTGCCTCATATGAAGCCTCTTGAAAACACATTGTTGTGCTAAAYCTGGCTCAGTGCAGGCCTTTATAGTCTGTGTGCTAACTGAGCCTTGAACTTTACTCTGGATGTGTCTAATTCACTTTCTGGGATGCATTGAGGGGTCCAAGGGGCAGGGAAGAACAGTGGAGCAGCCATCAGGGAAGTCCTTGCTGATCCCCTGGGCCCTGTGGACCTGCCTGGGGACTATGCTATGCTATGACACAAAGTTTAGGAACCTTTTGTCCACCCCAGTGAACAACTGAGGAATAGCCTTTGCTGGTCAGTCCTGCCTGCTGGACCATGAAGGCATGGAATGGGCAACRTAGGTGAAAAAATGCTGACACTTGGGCCCAAGTTTGGCTAAGACCAATCCCAACTGTCTTTTCACCTGGATTTGTAGCCTCAGCTGGACAGAAAGGGCTTCAATGCAGAGTGAGTGGTGCAACTGAGGTCTCCTTCGCTTACACACTCTCCACACAACAAAGACCCAGCTGGACTGCACATGAAACATGATGAAACTGCACACCAGCTTACTTTGGATGACACCTCAGGTGTGCCTCTGGATGTTTTGAGCAAACTCTCAGGAGAATGTTTTACTGATAAGTAAAGTGGAAATATACCACGGATAATGGACTTAAATCTCCTTAGTGGGTCTGTCTCCTTATTAGACAGCTTGCAAAATTTCCACAGACTGGATTTAAACACCTTGGTTTTACTCATGAGGGAAAACTGCTTCAAATATCTTGATTTGAAAGTAAACAAATATTTTCTGTACCCTACCTGGAGGAATATATTGGCAGGATCCAGAGTAGTTCACCAGCACATTTGTGTGAAACGTTGCATCAAACCTTTCATCTGCACTGTAACACAGCACAAGCAAAACAGAACAAAGGAAAAGCAAGCTGATGTTTGAATAAAGATATAATTGTCAACAAAAAAAATAACCTTTTGGCTGAATTAAGTTCCTACATCTGGGTCAAGGGTCTACGTTTGACCAATATCTCAGTTTATTTTAGTTACTGTTGGTTTGCACCTTGGCAGGCTAGTCACACACTGCAATGTCCTCAAAGAAGTGAGGAGCAGTGTCGGATGTCTCAGAGTAAAGGCAGAAGGAAAAGAAGCAAAAGTGTCACATGAGCTGTTTCCAAAAACTGGACAGTCAGGACAATGAACCTTTTTGAGGGTGCCTGTCAAAATGAGGCAGCTCACCACATAAATCATCTGCTACCTTACCCAGATATCTGTTGTAACAGCAATGACGACCTGACATAACAATTYTGCAGTGTCCTGAGATTCAGAGGGGACAAGGGTTTGCTTCTAGCATTGGAAGATGACATGGGAAGAAGCTATTTTAGGGGCTTGTAGGAAGAGATTCACTGACACTCCAAGAGCAAAAGGAACCAAGAAAATAGAATTTCTTTACTGTTCCAACAATTCTGAGAAAATTAAAGGAATAATGAGCCAGACTTCAAAAGAACAGGTCTGGGGGCTATTCCCAGARGGTCTCTTGGGAAGAGATTAACCACAGAGGGATCTCCTGGCCTGTAGAGTCTTGCCTGTAGAGGCTATGTGCAGGTCTATAATGCATGACTACACCATTCTACATACCYTGTCTTTAACCAGATGTACAAAACACAGACCCTCCATTACTTTTCTGACCTGCTCTTTATCCATGTCTCAAGTCCTCAATTCTCAGTATTGTCCCCAACACAAAACAAAGGGGATGACATTAAAACCCCTAACTMCAGAATGAGTGATAATTATCAAAGACATAGAAGGCAACAAAAAAGGGGTTTATAAATACAAGGGGACAAGGAAAAGACAAAGGATGAGATCCATCTATCCCTTGCCGTGGAAGGGAAAAAACCCAACAGGGTACAGAGAGTTGCAGTGTCCTGCACTCTGTGCGCTTCACTCTTTGCAATTAACTCTCACACAGTGGCAGGTGTCCATGGCACAATAGGGGACGAACGGGTTAAGGAAATGTAGATAAGACAGATTCTACAAAGCAGAGATGATGAAATTTACTCTTAAGAACTGAAAGAACTGGCCGAAATACCCTCTGAAGCATTAACAATTATCTGTGAGAGCTCAGGGAGAAGAGGGAAGGGCACAGTGAATTAGGGGAGATCAAAGAGAATTCTGACTTCTTTTAAAGGTGAAATTATAGACACATCAGCCCAACTTCAAAGAAAAGGGGGTGAAAACAGCTGGCACAGATTTTTGAAGGGCYGACTGCATCCAATCAATCTAATTTTCTTACTGACTAAGAAGAGCCAGGTGATAAATCTGAAGTTCAGCATGTTCTTTAAAGCTGCAATAATATGGACCAAGCTGTATACCTTGTTTTTAGAGACTGAATAGCAATAAAGAGACAGTAAGAAGCATAGCTGGAGTAAAGAAGAACACTTAAACAATGTAGGACTCTCCAGGCCTCCTTTGGATATCTGTGAGGGTTTGGAATGGAAGATGGATCTTGGTAATTACAATTGCTGGAAATTAAGAGAATTAAATTTGATCTGTGTAATTAAAAAAATATTACCCTGAAAACTGTCAGAGAAAGATGTATCAGGGAAAATTCAGTAAGACAGCAGGGATGAACTACAACATCTGGGATTTGCAATAGATCAAAAAATAAGTCCAAAAATAAGATGTTATTAGAGAAAATCCCAAATCCCCTCCTCCTGGAAAGCATTAAGGAAACAGCTGACTAGAGAGCTTCCACTTCATTCAACACTGCAGAAATGCYGTCTAGAGAGCTAGAGTCATCTCTAGAGAAAGTAAAAACAGATTAGAGAGTGTTCAGAGTGGAAAAGGAATGATGGAGATGTTTCTAAAATATGTGATGAGGAATGTGAGGAGAAAATCCATTTGTTTGCTTCAATCAGAAACACTATACATGACAAAAACTCTTCTGCAGAGATATGGCAATTTTGAAGTGAATATAGATAGTTTTCTCTCTGCATTCACTGTGAAAAAGTTGAAGAAGATATGCAGAAGTACAGCAGACTGGCTATTAGAAAAATCTATTAGACTGGCTATTAGAAAAATCTGTTCGCTGATGCTTGTTTGTTTTTTGTTACTCTCAAAATAAAAAAAAAAAAAATGCAGAGATGGCAAAAGGTCCACAGTATCAGTGAAGCACAGACAATTTTCAGTACCTCGTTCTAGTCTCCCACCAGCCATTTCACATCTTCTTTACCTGTTATACAGAAGAATGTCTGGYACCCAAATCTGGTCAGCAGGAAATCGCAAGTTCTGCACGCCTGGGTATTCAYACTGATCCCAAGACAAGTAAACATCAATCCAGTTCTGTTGGCAAACACAAAAATCAGATTATATCAGCTTGCAAAAGTCTTCTAAGTTCTGTGGAATGTTAAGGAAACAGAATAGATTTTGCCAATATCAACAGTAGCAGTGTGATAATAGTTTAATGCTTGGCTTTAATTATTAAGAAAGGTTGSCATATATAGAGAAAATAACAGCATGAATGCTGCAGACTAGCTCTTCATCTTGTGTCTAGCTCTTCACCTTGTGGCCTGAAGCCAGGCATTCTAAACACTGCCAGTAGGCACTTCCATGAGGTATGCTGGATCTGAAGTGAGGTGGTTTYTGGGGTGGTCAGTAGTACGGTGGACCATAGTCCAGGTCCCCGTTTTATGGAAATAATTTAATCCATTACAGAGGTCAGGCACCTGTTCTAATAACCACTTTGCTATGAGAGGTAGGCAGTGAACTTTATATGCAAAGGGCTGTTTCTGATCTCATTTCCCCCGCCTCAACACAGTTAATTCACACAAGGARCTTTTGGGATGAACCTTGTGACTTACAATGAAGCTCAGTGGGAGGGTTGCAAGGAAAACTCTTATACTATAACTGAAGAACATCTCTGCAAGGGATCAGATACCCACAGGCTCAGACCTAACAATCCTATAGTCACATATGTTTGTCTGGGTTAGTTTTTGCAATGCAAAAACATTCATTTCTGCTGCAAATCCCAGCAGGTAGCTGAGGAAGAAACAGCCTGTTCAGTTGAAGATATTAATATGAGATGGTGTTTGGCTGTGAAAGTCAAAGCAGAATTAGTTTAATCATTCAAGTCTCCCACTGGTTTTTCCTTCAAGCACTGCTTCTTTCCTGAGCCCTTAGAGGGAGCAGATGTGTCTACGCAGCGCAAGCAAACATTCTATTTCTCACCATAGGCAGCCAGGCAGACCTGATGGGAAACTCCTTCCTGTAAAATTTCCCTCCCTTAATGAAGGTCAGTTTTTCTTATCCTGCATGAACAGTGCAGGTGAATCCTCAGCTGGAGCAGGTTGCAGAAGAGGGAGGAGGGATGTTTATGGTAGAGTTTTGTAAAGCATGAGGGGCAGGAATATTCCAGAGAGCYGCCTGGGCACTGCCAGCAGTAGTGCAGCGTAAGGCTTTCTGTGGTTCCTGGACACCCCACCACCCATTATGAGCAGTGTCCACGTGATCCAGTGTGGCTGCATCACTTTTGTGTTCAGGGGAAGGTGCCTTGGCTCCCAAATTTAGGCAGAGGTAGAGATTTCCCACAAGTGGCATGTGCAGGTTGCCCGGGTCTTACTGGGTGTCTGACTCGTTCATAACTCTCCCACTGGTTATGGAGAGGGCCTTAAACCCCTTGAAGATTCCCTTCTTAGCTATGCTAGGACTCTACTTCCGGGCTCTTTACCAGATCCCTACATCCACTGGCAAAACAATGCAGCTAGTTTCATCCTCCAAAGGTCAATAGGAAGATTAGTCTAGTCACCAGAATTTAATTTTCAATGCTAAAAGGAGCTCTAGAAAAATTTTAAAGGACTCAAAATGCCTGCTTGTATTACATTATACACAAGCTATAAGACAGCAATCCTGCTTTTCAGGTAAGAAATCATATTCAGTAGTTTTGAATTAGTTTTCAATTAAAGTTTCTTAATTGACAGACGTTACTCACCATCTGCAGCCAAGCATTAGTGATCAACACCTGATTCTTCTCATCCTTTGAACAAAATGGGAAAGTAAAGAAAAGAAAAGAGAAAAATGGATGAAAAACTTTGGTTAGAGGTGGAAGAGTTTCTGTGTCTTGTAGAGATTTGAGACTCCTTGGGTACATGAACCAAACTCTATGGAGTAGAGCTCTATATGAGTAAGCTCATTGGAGCACCACTATTTGGCCCAGACAGCAGKGACTTTTTTCTATCGTTTAACCATATAGATCCCCTGGCTTTATCACAACTCATYAACAACAGAAAGGAAAGTAATAGATGATTTCTATTAGTTTTCTGGGGACAAGCTGCTTGCCAAGTTTTATCTTCCAGCTACTTGCTCAAAASAAGATGTTTTCCATACCACACTAAATGTCGTAGTTGGGGAGGTTTTATGTTGTATTTGTTGCCACTGCAAAGCAATGATGAAATAGTGCTGGAAGTGCTGTTCTTTTTGAGTATCAGTGACAGTATGTAGCTCATCTCTGGCAGGAAGGAAAGGGAAAGGGAAAGGGAGAGGGAAAGGGAAAGGGA